AGGCGGCTAGCCAGGTGCGAGGGTCGGTGTCGTCTTCAGAGAAAATGGGAACTTCGGAAGGAGGAGGTACAAAGTACAGGGGATGATTGGCCATCACCGCGTGGTTGTCCCCGTCGTTTTCACCCCCAATTCCGGGTTCCACCATCGTGGGAGGCGGGTTTCGAGCCCGACCTCTCGCTCGGTTTTGATTGCTACCCACGGGCCTCCGTCGACGGGGAGCCAGCCTACTCAAAAATGCGAAAAATCCAATGAAAAGATCAAAAAGAAAAAATGAGAAACTTTAAAACAGGGTAATCGTCCTAGGAAAACCTCGGAGTCGAAACGAATCAGCTATGATACCAACCTCACGCCCCCTCGCGGTGTCCCGTACGGGGTCGCCAATCAGAGTTTTAGGAGGGGCGTGGCCGAGGATTTTTGGTCGTAAGGGTTGAGTCTCCCGGACGGAACGGGAGGCCCTCGTTTCGTCCCAGAGGTTGTCCCCGGAGTCGAACTGTCGTCGCGGAGTCCCGTGGAGGTCGGATCACTCCGAAACGATAAAATCAAAAAGGTTTCCGCAAAAATGAACTGTCGTCATGCATCGGGACGAAAAAAGGCATCAAGGGGAGAGGGCCATGGCGGCGGAAGACAAAACTTCGGCCGTCAGGGGTTTGGGGGATAGGTGGTGGGTTCGAAGCCTTCAGGCCTCATCATCGGCCTCACAAATTGGCCGAACCCTCGGGTCTTTGCTGTTGAGGTGGTTGGTTCGAGGCCTTCAAGCCTCGGCATCGGACTCACAGAGTCCGCGCGAAAGTTTCCGGGAGGGTAAAGCGGCGGGAGGACTCGCCGGCATCTAAATTCAAAATTGCGCGGGCAGCGCCCCCCCACTACGGGAAAGCTCGGGGAAACGTGTCGCTCCCTCGTAACCCAAGACCAGCCGTCGCCAAGAACACGAGTCCCCATGGCGACACCAGCGACAATCAAACTGCGGCTGCCACGCGGCGTGAGCGGCCGACCAGGGCAACACCGTTAAACCCGTGCAAGGCAATATTAGAGTCGGGGAATCAAAACGATCAATCAGGACAAACCCGTTCCTCCTTATATCACACGCCCGAGGCGGGTCTTGCCAACACACTTGCTCCGTCCGCCTCAGCGCGCGTCGTACGTCCGCATCGCAGTAGACGCTGTCGTCATCTGTGATGGGGAAGGTCGGTAGCGAGATGAGGCGGTCGGAGGTACGCGATGAACACGGGCAAG